AAATGTCTGAACAAAATCACGCGGCCGCCTCGCCTTTATAAACTGCTGCTGCTGCTCGCTGCTTGCTGCAGCAGAAAAATCAAACTCCGATAAGTAACGCTTATGATTCAACACCTGCAGCAGCACCAGCAGCAGCAGCAAGAGATGCAGCAGCAGCAGCAAGAGATGCAGCAGCAGCAGCAACAACAGCAACGCAGTACAGATAGAAAATTATGCAGCAGCAACAAAAACAGCAGCAGCAAATCAAGCTATGTGGAGGCGAAGCGTGCATGCACAATGCAGTGCCCTTCCTGCTGCTGCTGCTGCTGCTGCTGCTGCTGCTGTTGCTGCTGCTGTTGCTGCTGTTGCTGCTGCTTGCCTGGAAGCCTTTGGGGAGCATCTGCAGCATGGCGTCTATTACTTCTTTTGCTGCTGAACGGAAGGGCAGCAGCAGCAGCACGCGCGGCCTTCGGTAAGTTGCTTCGTGCAGCAGCGAATCAAACCAGCTCTCAAGTGCAGCATCACTTTGCTGCTCCGCTGCTGCTGCTGCTGCTGCTGTTGCTGCTGGTGATGCTGCTGTGGCTGGGTTGGAGGCGCATTCCCCATCACCTTTCGCTTCTGCTGCTGCTGCAGCAGCAGGAGCAGCAGCAGCAGTTCCATCTTGTGCTGCTGCTCCTTCCTGCTGCTGCTGCTCCTTGCGGTATTTGTGCTGCAGTATACATTCGAAGGAGCCTGTTGCTGCTGCTTCTCTCAGCAGCTGTATCTTTTGCTGCTGAGTGGTATCTCTCAGGGCAGCAGCTAGCTTCGTTGCTGCTGCTGTTCTGCTTCTTGTCTTGAAGCAATGTGCGAGTGCATGCGCAGCAGCAGCAACACGGACGACAGAAGCAGCAAATATATTTTGATGAGGGAACAGACAATCTGCGTAGCTGTGAAGCAAATGATACAACTGCAATACACAAGCAGGCAAATCGCTGCCGCTGCTGCTGTTGCTGCTGCTGCTGTTGCTGCTGTTGCTGCTGCTGCTGCTGGAATTGCCGTTGCAGTTGTTTGCATGCTTGCTGCTGTCACTGCTGCTGCTGTTGCTTTCACTGCTGCTGCTGCTGCTGTCACTGCTGCTGCTGCTGCTGTCACTGCTGCTGCTGCTGCTGCTGTCACTGCTGCTGCTGTCACTGCTGCTGCTGCAGGTGCTGCTGCTGGTGGGTTTGAGCAGCGGATAGTCTGCTTCACTTCGAGGAGATATTTTGCTGCTAATTACTTTTCTAAGGCCAGCAGCAATGCAGACTGGAGAGCCGTAGTTATCGACATAGAAACCCCCAAGCTGCCCATACACCGCAAGAGGGTCAGAGGGGCACTCCCGCTGCAGCACGCCCTCAAGATATGTCTTGCTGCTGCTGCTGCTCCTGCTGCTGCTGCTGCTGCAGAGTGCAGCAGCAGGATTAGCAAGGGCAGGGTTTGGGGTTACGCGAGAGAGCCGAGTTGTAAACGGAAGGCAATCAGGAAGAGATAAAGCTACCTCCTCCAGCTGCTGCTGCTGCTGCTGTTGCTGCTGCTGCTGCTGCTGCTGCAGCAAGTAGGTCCCTGAAACAGAGCAGAAAGCGGTGCCCGCAACACTCTCTACGCATGCATCCAAAAAGCCGTTGCTGCTGCTGCTGCTGCTGCTGCTGCTGCTGTCGCCAGCCTTGCGCTTGCCCCTGCTGCTGCTGCTGCTGCTGTTGCTGCGTCTCCCAGCAGCAAACAGCCGACGTGCTGCAGCAGCAGCTTCGTCAAGCTCCTCATCGAAGGTGCATGTGAAGTCAAATGGAGGCACTGCAGCAGCAGCAGCAGCTGCTGCTGCTGCTGCTCGTCCCTGTTTCTCGGAAGGAGCATTATCATTGTCATCATCATCACCAGCAGCAGCAGCAGCTGCTGCTGCTGTGGCTGCAAGGCGTGCTGCAGCAGTGGCGAGCCCAAAGGCCTCCAAAGTAAAGCGACATTGCTTCTGCCCCTCAACTGCAGCAGCAGGAGCAGCAGCAGCAGCAGCATCAGGCTCTGATGATACTGAAGCAGACTCGTACTCTTCATCTTCACTGCCTTCGCTGCTCTCTGTTGCTGCTTCTTCTGCTTCTTCTTCTTCTTCTTCTTCGTCTTCTGCTGCTGTTGCTGTAGTTAGTCTTTCAGGGGTCTCGTCGCCCCGCGCAGACAAGTATTCCTCCTCGCTTTCTGCTGCTGTTGCTGCTGCAGCAGCAGCAGCAGGTTGCTGCTGCTGTTCATCATCTGTTTCTGCTGTGCTGCTGTCGCTGTCTTCTCCCTCACTCTCGTCGCTGAGCAGGCCCTTTGCTGCAGCAGATGGAGGCACAAATGCTGCTGCAGCAGCAGCAGCAGCAGAACCTCGTGCTGCTGTCGGAGAGAGGACATGCAGCAGCCGCTGCAGTCTAGCTTGAGGTTTTTGTCTGTTTGCTGCAATTGCTTCTCTTCGCTGCTTCTTTTGCTGCTGCTGCTGTTGTTGCTGCTGCAGCTCCAGCTGCTTGAGATGTTCTTTCACTCGCTTCTTCTCTAGTTTTTTTTGCTGCTTCTCCTGCTTCTTCTTCTTCTGCTGCTGCTTCTTCTGCTGCTTCTGCTGCTGCTGCCGCAACTCTACAGCAGCTTCATATCTCTCTAGCAGCGACAGCCGTCCCCCCTTCTTTCTTTTGCTTTTAAATCCACCCCTAAGCTTTACCTTCTTACTCATTTCTAAACCCTAAACCCTAAACCCTAAACCCTAAACACTGAAGGCTGAGGCCTCGGGCCCCCTCCGCAGCTTGCTGCTGCTGATCTGCTGCTGCTCCTGCTGCAGCAGCTTCAAAAAACCTAGGCTGCTGCTCCTCCACTGCAGATCTGCTGCGTTGACTCCTTAAAGACCTTGAGGCAGCAGCAGCTGCTGCAGATCTTGCTGCTGCTGCTGCTGCTGCTGGGGGCCCCCGGTGTGGGGCCGCGGTTTCGCTGCTGCTGCTGCTGCTCTTAGTAAGCAGCAATTGTCTGTTAGTAAAAAGAAACGAAAATATACAAAAGAAAAAGAATTAGCAGCAGCCTTTGAATAATAAGCGTTTGTTGCTGCTCGTGCTGCTGTTGCTGCTGCTGCATGCAGCAGCAGCTCAGCGTCAGCTCAGCAGCAGCAGCAGCAGCAGCACCAGGGCCTCGTGAGGCTAAGAAAGCTGCTGCCGGATCTAAGAAAATTTTGATGGTTTGCTGCAGTCTCTCTTGTTAACTGTCTGTACATTGCGGCTTCATTCTTCCTCCCTGCTGCTGCTACTGCTGCTGCTGCTGCTGCTGCTGCTGAGCTGCTGCTGCTGCTGTTGCAGCTGCAGCAGCAGTTGCTGCTGCAGCAGCGTGAGTTTCTGAGTTTTGCTGTTTTTCTTTTGTTGTTTATAACCATCTGTAGATGTTCTTTGCAGCGTTCCAGCCCTCTTACTGCTTCCTCAGCCCCAAACCCTAAACCCTAAACCCTAAACCCTAAACCCTAAACCCTTAAGATGTCGGGCCGCCCTATGGGGGACACTGCCCCGCTGCAGTTGCTGGGAAGGTCGCGAGCAGAGCGGCTGCTTGATGGGGTGTATGCGCGGCAGCGTTTGCTGCTGCGGAAGCGGAGGCTGCAGCAGCGGCAGCAGCAGCAGCAGCAGATTCTGCTGCCTGAAGAACGAGAGGCGCGGCGGCGTCTGCTGATTAAGCATCCACCGTCAGCAGCAGAGCAGCAGCAGCAGCAGCAGAAGCAGAAGCAGCAGCAGCGCGCTGCTGCAGCAGCAGCAGCAGCAGCAAAAGGCGGAGTGTCTTTAGAAGCAGCACTTCAAGACCTAATAAATAAGCATTTTCATAATAAAGCAAAGTTTGCTAAGGCAGTGCTGCTGCTGCAGCAGATGTGGGGTGTCTACTTCAGCAGCAGCAGCAGCAGACAGTTCTTTGGGGCTCTTGTTGCTGCTGCTTCAACTGATTTCTGTTATAATGATGACAAAGGTAGGCAAGCTATCTCCTCTCTCTTTGCAAGCTGCGTGCTGCCGCTGCTGCAGCAGCAGCAGCAGCGGGAGCAGCAAAAGGCTGAGGCCCTCCTACGCCTTGCAGACGCCAGGAAGCAGCAGCAGCAGCAACGTATCCAGCTGCAGCTTGCTGCTTCGGCCTTCCCTTCAAACCGCTACAGCAGCAGCAACAGCAGCATCAGCAGCAGCAGCACAAAGCTGAGAGCTAATGCTGCTGCTGCTGCTGATATGGCAGAGGCTGCTGCTGCTGCCTGCATGCGTGCAGAAATTGCAGCGCAGCAGCAGCAGCAACAGCAGCAGCAGCAGGCTGGCGGCTGTCAGGAAGCTTCAGCCGATGGCGCGGGCAGCAGCAGCAACAGCAGCGACAGCAGCAGCAGCAGCAAGGAGGTGGAGATGAGTGCTGATGTAGTTAGTTTGCTGCAGCTGCTGCGGGTTCGCTGCATCGTTCATCCGCAGCTGCAGACCGATGATGCTTTTGAATTTAATTCTGCAGTGTCTGAGCTGCGGCTGCTGCTGCAGCAGCTGCAGGAGCAGCAGCAGCAGCAAGACGAAGAAGGAGAAGAAGAAGGCTTCAGCTGGAGCAGCGAAGAAGAGACCGCTGAAGACAACGAAGACAATCACAAACACAAACAACCCAGGCTGGAGCAGCAGCAGCAAGAGCAGCAGCAGCAGCAAGAGCAGCAGCAGCAGCAAGAGCAGCAGCAGCAGCAGCAGGAGCAGCAGCAGAACGGGTTGCACACGCAACAGCAGCAGCCACACCCGACAGACGCCCCCTGCAGTGACTCCAGCAGCAGCAGCAGCAGCAGCAGCAGCAGCAGTGTAGACAGCAGCAGCAGCAGCAGCAGCAACGGCCGCAGCAGCACGTGGCGTGTTAAAACCGAAGAACCGGATGCAGCAGCAACGCCTGCTGACTCAGCAGCAGCAGCAGCAGCAGCCGTTCCTGCAGCGGCAGCTGACGCAGGTAGTGGTAAAGGAGCAGCAGCAGCAACAGATTCTCCTACAGAGACAGAGGGTGGAGCAGCAGCAGCAGCAGCAACAGCAGCAGCGGAAGCTGCTGAGGCAGCAGCAGCAGGAACAGCAACAGCGGCATCTGAGGAGGCAGCAGCAGAAGCAGCAGCAGCTGCTGATGCTGCAGCAGCAGAAGACGCAGCAGAAGAGGAGTGGCCGCTGCCTCTGGGGTGCGACTATAAACCCTAAACCCTAAACCCTAAACCCTTACCGCATAATTCATGCAGTTAAAACCAAAGCAAGCCGTTCTACGGGCCGACAGAAAACAGCGCCTTGGTGACTAGGGTTTAGGGTTTAGGGTTTACGTTTTTTAGGGTCATTAGGGTTTAGGGTTTAGAGGTTTTAGGGTTTAGGGTTTAGGGTTTAGGGTTTGTGTGGGTGCAGGAAGGCGGCGCTGCTGGGGCTGAGCAAATGCTTCTTCTTGGATGCTCTTTCAACTGTATTCACCTTCCGAACGGTCAGCGAGGGTTTAGGGTTTAGGGTTTAGGGTTCGGGGTCAGCGCAAAGGGCGTGAGGCGCAGGGATTGGTGTTTAGAGCTACGTGCTTAGGGCTTTAGGGTTTAGGGTTTAGGGTTTAGGGTTTAGGGTTTAGGGTTTGTGTGTCTGGCTGCAGATTCCTTGGGCTCGCGCCTCAGTTGAGCAGCTCTTCCAGCAAGCTTACAGACACAGGCAAGTGCTGCTGCTGTTGCTGCTGCAGTTGCTGTTGCTGCCGCCGTTGTTGCTGCTGTTGCTGCTGCAGTTGCTGTTGCTGCCGCCGTTGCTGCTGCTGCTGCTGTTGCTGCTGCTTGTTGCCGCTGTTGCTGCTGCTGTTGCGTTAAGGTTATTGCTGGTTCTGTTTTCGCAGCTCGTTGCACTGCTGCTGCGGCTGCTGCTGCAGTGTCACCGGCAGCAGCAGCAGCAGCAGCAGCAGCAGCAAGTGCGCAGGGTTGTTACTGTGATTGTGTTTTTGCTTCAGGGGCCTCTTTAGTGAAAGCGAGGCGCAGCAAATCGCCATCTGGCAGGCAGAAATCAAAGCAAGCTCAGGTCTGCTGCTGCTGCTGCTGCTGCTGCTGCTGTTATTGTTGCTACTGCTGCTGCTGCAGCTAGCGGTGGTGACGCTGCTGGGGGTGGGGGTTCTGCGGGTGCTGCTGCGGAAGGGGTGCTGCTGTTGCCGCTGCTGCTGCTGGGGCTGCTGCTGCTGCTGCTGCTGCTGCTGCTGCTGCTGTTAATTGGGGGGTGTTGCTGTGTCTGTGGTTTGCTGCTGCAGCACCAACTGCTGTTGCTGCTGCTGCATTTGGGATTGGAGAGGCGACAGTGCCAGTCAAAGACGCTCGAGAAGAAAAAATATTCACCGAACACGGTCAGCTGCTGCTGCTGCTGCTGCTGCTGTTGCTGCTGCTGCTGCTGCTGTTGCTGCTGCTGCTGCTGCTGTCGCTGCTGCTGCTGTTACTGTTGCTGTTGCTGCTGCTGCTACTGGTGGTGCTGATGCTGCGGCGGCTGCGGCTGCTGCTACCTCACATGTTGCGGCTGCTCTTGGGTCTGTTGCAGCTCTTGCTGCGGTTAGCTGCTGTTGTTGCTGCTGGTGCTGCTGCCGTCGCGTTGCTGTTGTCTTTGCCTTTATGCTGCTGCTGTGTGCTGCTTCGTGCTGCTGCTGTTGCTGCAGGATCTGTTACGTGGTCTCGTAAGCAGTGCGGGTGCTGAGGAGCAGCAGCTTGAAGGAGCAGCAGCAGCAGCAACCAGCAGCAGCTGCAGCAGCAGAGGCTGCAGCAGCAGCTGCTCTATCGTTTGGGTGCATTAGAGCAGGAGGAATCTGTTGCAGCAGCAAGAGGCAGCAGCAGCTGCTGCTGCAGCAACTGCTGCTGCCGCTGCTGCAGCAACAGCTGCAGGAAACTGCAGCATGAGCAGCAGCAGCTGCTGCTGTAGCTGTTTGTTTTGAGGGGGGATGATAGAGAGCCTTCTCGAGGCACCAATCTTTTTGTCTACTGAACAAAACGCATGCATTTAGCAGCAAATATTATTAGATTCTGTGGTTACTGCTGCTGCAGAGGCTTCGCGTTGCTGTTGCTGCTGTTGCTGCGGTTGCTGCTGCTGCTGTTGCTGCTGCTGTTGGAAGGTTGAGAGCTGATCGCAGGGCGAAGGGGACGAACGGTTACTATTGTTGCTGGTCCTGCTGCTACTGCTGCTGCTGCTGCTGCTACTGCTGCTGCTGCTGCTGCTGCTGCTGCTGCTGCTGCTCCCTGTTCCTGCGCGTGTCTGTGTATTTGTACTCTTCCTTGTTCACTTGTTTATTTTATTTTATTTTATTTTATTTTATTCTCTGTCCTTTGGGGGTATAATGTAGCTGACGCATCTTTTATTCATTTGCTTGCTGCTCCTCTGGAGGCGCCAGCAACAGCAGCAACACCAGCAGTAACAGCAGCAGCAACAGCAGCAGCAGCAGAAAGAGCACGATGCAGCAGCAGCAGCAGCGAGATCAGCAGCAACAGCAGCAGCTGTCTTTCTCGGTTGCCTTTGGGTGTAAATTGAGGCATTGAAATTCACAAAGTGC